GGGCGGGGCGAAGGGAACCAAGGGGCGGGGCCTTCGCGCCGCCGCCGCGTCGAGCGGACACGCGCGCCCCTCGCGGCGTTTCCTCCGCGACGTTTCTCCCCCGCCCCCCCTTTAGTCTCGCCTCTGCCCTCGGGCTCGGGAATCATTAGCCTGGAGGCTCCGGGACACCGGCGGTTTGCAGTAGTGTGAAGGGCTTAGACGCCCTCCAAGACGCAAAAGGTGTGTTTCAGGCAAACTGTAGGTCAATCACCAGTGCCACCGAACAGTTGGTGCTCGCGTATTCTTTTGTGCTGGGGAGAGAGGCTGGAGAAGTAACAGAGCGCGCGGTTTTACACACCTAGAGCTCCGGGAAGGAGCCTAGGCCAGGGCATAGTCTTTTTCATTCTTGAAATGGTTTTTCTCTTGAATTGGCAAGTATTTTATCCACTGATGTTTTAACCTGGGTGAACTCTTCCCAAATTACTTTGCTAAACTCAGTTAACAAATCGACGATCCCAAGTAACTTTGTTCTCTGTACCTAAATCGCTGTTTATATGAATAAAATAAATTGCATATTTAAATGCATTACTCTGCACTTTAAAGGATTACCCATAGGTAGGTTTATGATGTGACTACAGTACTGGGCAACAGAAAGCACTTTCTGTTCCAAAAATGTCTTGTTCCAAAAAGGGCGGGAACTTAACAAGAGACCTTAAGTTTTTTTAGAGAAAAGCCTAAAATACAGCTACTCTTAGTACAGGACGTAGGCTTTTTTATGAAACGAGGTTTTGATGGGCTAAGAGATGCCAAAAGAGCAAAGTGCAGAGATAGTAGAGGTTTAGGGGTGCCATTGAAGACTAACTTTTGCTTACTTCATGGTTTAATTGGGCCCTGTATTCCTGAAATAGTTTTTATGAACTTGGATAAATTTGAAGGATTAATGAAAAGTATGATTAGTTTCACTCCTTTTTATTGAAAACTAAACTAAGTTAAAGGAATATATAAGAATGAATTGTAATTATCCTAAGTTTTCTGTATGTGTTTCACAATTTAGGTTAATTAAAAATGTTTCATATTTAATAATTTTTGTTTCCTTAAAAAACCGTTTTTAATAGAAAATTCAAAGGCAAATTTCAGAGCATTCTAGAGGAATTATTAAAAATTCTGAATTAATTTCAAATAAATTTCAGCCTTACTGCTTTTTATTTTAAAAAATATATCTTTATTGATTACAGAGAGAGGAAGAGAGAGATAGAAACATCAATGATGAGTCATTGATCGACTGCCTCCTGCACACCCTCTACTGAGGACTGAGCCCACAACCTGCTATGTGCCCTGACCAGTAATGGAACTGCGATCTCCTGGATCATAAGCCGATGCCCATCTACCAAGCCACACCGGTGGGGCCCTTACTGCTTTTCAATTACTGCATGAAACTTTGAAAAGTCTGAAAGCGTGAAACTTTTAGTTCATGGAAGCAGATGTTACCTGGGTATACTGATCTTTTCTTTTTTCTTTCTGAACTCTTTTTGAACTTTGGGCAATAGATTTTGTTTTGTTTTTTGGTTAATCCTTACCCGAGGATATTTTTTCCATTGATTTTTAGAGCGAGTGGAAGGGAGGAAGGGGGAGAGAGAGAGAAAGAAACACCAGTGTGAGAGAGACACATTGATTGGTTTTCTCCCCAATAGGGGCAGGGATAGAACCTGCAATCCAGGTACATGCCCTGGATCAGAGTTGAACCCGAGACCCTTCAGTGCTTGTGCTGACGCTTTACCACTGAGCCACACTGGCCAGGGCAGATGATGATGATGATGATGATGATGATTCCTTTCAGAAAGTCAGTTTTAGAAGATTGAAACTAGGATTATTTAGAATTTGAGAGAACGTGTAAAATATTTTATTTTAACTTAAAATACATTTGTTTCCCTCTGTTATACTAGAAATCATTACATTTGTATTAAACTATTATCTCTGTGTAGAGAGTGCCAGGATCTGCATCTCTTAGCATTGATTCATTTTTGGATTTGAGCCTCTTGTTCCTATCTTATTGAAATCTTCATGCCCAGCCGGGCATGGCTCATCGGTTGAGCATCGACCTAGGATCCAGGTCAGGTGATCAGGGTTCTATCCCCCGTCAGGTCACATGCCCAGGTTGGGGGCTGCAGCCAGTCAATAACTCTCTCATCATTGATGTTTCTATCTCTCTCTATTCCTCTCTCTGAAATCAATAAAGATATATTTGAAAAAAAAAAAAAAAAAAAAAAGAAATCTTCACCAGGATATTCCACTGTCAACTTGAACTGGTTGTGTGCAAACTGGACTCATCATTTTTGTCACCAAGCCAGTTTCCTCTCCTTTCTTTGGTTAGTTGTATCAACGTTTTTGAAACTCCCTAGTCTTCTAGTTTGACACTATTCTCTGCCTTTTCTTAAACTATCAGTTAATTGGCCCATTTGTTAGGTAGTAATTCATTTCTACTAAGACCATACTTGTTTAGGTTGGCACTACTTCTTAACTCCTAAACGTATGCCATACCTTCCTACCTTGTCTTGCAGTCTCTGGTCTGATCTCTGGTCTGTTCCTGCTGTGATCCATTCTACACACTGTTGCCAGATGAATTATCTTAAAGCTTACTGAGCAAGTCACCCTCTTCCTCAAAGAGCCTTCAGTTACTTCCTGCCCTACCAAAATAAAGTTAACATTCTTGTATCTTACTTTTTCCTTTCACTTAAAACTGTCTTACAGTCAGAGTGGACTTTACATCTAGCCAAAATATAGAGTGTTTTCCTACTTCTCTGGTGTGTAGATGTAATTTCCTCTGCCTGGAGTGGCTCTTCCCATCCGTGCCCGTTATTCAAAGTCGCTTTACTTTCTCCAAGAAAGAGCATCTTTTCTGATATTTCCAGTCTAATGTAGTTTCTTCTCTTTTGAATCCCCATAACACTCTAGTACTCCTTTCTTTTGTTACTTGTTTTCTACCTTCCTGCTTACACAGGGGTTAGCAAACTTTTTCTGTAAAGAGCCAGATAGTAAATATTTAGGGCTTTGTGGGCCAGCCAGATAGTCTTTGTTGCAGATACTCAACTCTGCTTTTCTTGTGCAAAATCATCCGTAGGATACATAAAGAATGAGTATAGCTATACTCTAATAAAACTTCCTTTATGGACACTAAAATTTGAATTTTATAAAATTTTCCACGTCACAAATATTCTTCCTTTTTTTTTAACTATTTAAAAATGTGAATACTATTCTTAGCTCATGGCTGAACAAAAACAGGCAGTGGCCCAGCTGCCATGCTCAGTGGTTGAGTGCTGACCTATGAACAAGGAGATCACGGTTTGATTCCCGGTCAGGGCACATACTGGGGTTTTAGGCTCAATCTCTAGTAGGGGGCATGCAGGAGGCAGCTGATCAATGATTCTCTCTCATCATTTATGTTTCTATCTCTCTCTCTTTCTTCCTCTCTCTGAAGTCAATAAAAACATATTTAAAAAACAAACAAACAGTCAGTAGACTGGATTTGGCCGGGAGGTCATTGCCCTCTGTACTCAGGGCTAGCTAGCTTCATGAGTATGTGACAGGGCTCTGTGCTTAGAAAGACTCCATGATTGATTTAATGCTTTGATGTCACCATCTTGAAAGTTTTAATGATTTTTGAACAAGAGGCCTGCTTTTTCGTTTTGCACAGGGTCCCTCAAATTACTTAGCTGGCCCTGCCTGTAGTAGAAGATAAAATCCATAAGATTAGGATGTATGTGTCTCATGTTTGGCCTGGTGCTTTTCACGTAATAGGCATCCAAAGTGTGTTTGTTGAGTTTTCTATTCCTAGGGTACTGTGAAATAGTGGAGGACACTAGAGTTAGTGTTCAGCTCTGCCACTTACTAGCTGTGTGCTCTTGGGCAAATTCCTTAACTATGCTGAGACATAGATTTCTCATCTATAACATGGGGATAATAACCTTTGCCTTACAGACTGTTTTCAGATAAAATATAGAAAATAGCCGTGTCTTAGCCCCTGGAACTAGAAGAAGCTCAACATTAGTTTTTCCTCTTTTAGGGGAAGTGAATTAATAGTGTGCTCACCCATAACTCTTGTCTAGTTAACCTGATACAATATTTCTGATTTTTCATGTTATTTGCCTCTTTAACAGTTTTACTACAAGTAACGTCTGTACCTCGTCAGTTTCATTTCAAAAGTCCTCATAAGTAAAGGTCATATTGCAAATCCAAATTTGATGAAAACACCCCAAATTTCCAATTTTCTTAATTAACAATTAGTGATTATTAGCATTAACAAGAGTCATGCTGTTTAGCTTCCAGTTAAGCATGGTTATCAGTAGCATTGATAGTCATTAACCTTAAGTATTATATTATTTCATTCACAAAACAACATTGAAAATTGATCCTCTCAAGGCACTTTTTCACTGGTTTTCCCTCCATTGTGTGTGTGTGCATGTGTGTATGCATATATGTATGTGTGTATATATACATTATCTATATTTATTATGATGATATGTACAGGTATACGTGTGTGTATATAGTATATAGTATATAAATATATAGTGGTTCCTCGGTTTTCAAACATCTCCATCGACAAGCATTTCGGTTTATGAACACCATAAACCTGGAAGTAAATGCTTCGGTTTTCGAACATGCCTCGGAAGTCGAACATGCCACGTGGCTTCCGATGATGCAAGATCCTGAGGCCCCAGCTGTGGCCTGTGGATCCCTCGGTTATCGAATGTTTCAGAACTCAAACGGTCTTCTGGAAAAGATCACATTCGAAAACCGAGGGACCACTGTAGTTCTGTTCCTTTGCAGCACCCTGCATAGCTGGAATTAGAAGTTGAAAAGGATAAGAAGGCTGCTTGTTCATGCAAAAAAGGAAAAACCATGGCTTAAACCCCCAGTTAGATAAATTCTGTTTCCTTGGTCAAAGTCTGTGTTCAAACTCTATGCAGTTGTTTTATAAATTCTAGCACTTAATCATTCAAGAGACCAGGTAAGAACATATTAGACCATTGCTATCATAGGAAAACAACTCAGAACACATACTCCCCTAGGGTATGTTGTGTTTCTTTAAGATTTTTGTCTTGGGGAAACCAAGTACTTATATATAAGAAAAATGAGGCAACGTGGTATGTTTTCTACTTGGTGTAATAACTGCTTACTTGTCTCAAGATATATTTCAAATTCTGTCTGTACTCTATTTCAGCAGTTGTAGGCTTGGCCACCAAACTTGCCTGCACCACATTAAATAAATATAGCAGTTCTATAATTTTGTCATTGCTAATGTCTATGATGTAAGGAACAGATTTGACTTAAAATTCCCCATTTTCTTAAGCTGTAGCTGAGAAAAACCATACAAATGAAAATGACATTTTCAGAGCCATCATGTCAATGAGTGTTAAAGCAGAAAACCACTGGAAGAACCAATGTAACGAAAATACCCCTTGTCATGAAATTTTCAAAGGAAATTCAAATTAAGAAAATCTTCAAAAACCACAAAAAATTATGTTCAGAATCTGGTCTGTCCCTAAATCAAACAGCCAATATAACTTTGCCAAAGATTCTCCAGGTTTGGCATCCCCTCTGACTTTATCATTATGATAGTATTTAGCTTCTAGTCTCAGTTACCCATTCCAAGTCCTGTGTGTGAATCACATACCTCACTAATAATTACCAAATTCCAAGAGGTAAGTTTAATGAGAACACTAAAACTTAGAAAAGCTATGTGGCCAAGGCTATATATAAATATGTGGGCAGAGGTGAAATTTGTGTCTGCCTTCTTCTGGTACCATGTTGCCCTACTATTCCTTTATAAATGCTGTCTGGCAGCCAGAAAACCTCTCCTGTCTCTTTTGTATTTATTTATATCTTAATAATTGTTCAAGACCCACTGGTTTCTTGTTTTTCAAAATTTCCCTAATAATAATTGTTTGTACCATTATTTGGTACTTATCAGATTTGTCTTACTTAAACTGCTTTTGTCTTCCCTCCACCCTGAGGTCCTTGAGAACAAAACCATAACTTACACTTCTTTGTATCTGTCATACTGCCTGGCATATTAGAAATAAAATATAGTTCGGTGGGGGGCGGGGGGAATGGGAGATGTAGTTTTGCTAATCTTGGTTAGACTCTCCAAGTTGATTATAGTGGATTTGTGACCTCTGGCAGTTTTTTAACCTTTCCAAGTTTTCTTTAGTGATCTTTAAAATAAATGCACATAATATCTACAGTGTAGGGCTTTACATTAAAAAAAAAAAAAAAAAAAAAGGAGGCCAGATATAAAAATGGAAGTAATCAGAGTAGCTATTAAAGGGATTGGCTCTGGAATCAGATTGCAACTGTTCAAATACAGGCTTCATTTATCTTAGGGAATTTACTTCTGGCCCCTCTGTTTCCTCATTTGTAAAATGAGTACAATAGTATAGGCTACATTATGGGATTATTGTGAAAATTAAAAGAGTTAACGACACAAACAGAATA